CGATGAAGACGATCTCCAAATCTAAAGATCTTGCAGCCAAAGATCTCTCACTTGGTCAACAATAGACGATCTCGTCGCCGACGATCAACACTCTCAATTAAACGAGAGTTTCATTGAGATTTGTGATTGTTGATCGAATTTTAGAAGTTTTCTTTTCAATTAGATATGTTGATTTGTTGATTAATTTGTTTTGTTTTTGTTTGTTTGTTTGTTTGTTTATTTTTTTGGGATTTATTTTTGTTGTTTTTGATCTGATTTCATTTGACAGAATCAGAGTAAAATTTTATTCTGGTTTTATTGCTCTGTTTTTTGTTTCAGATAATGAGAGTAAAATTTTACTCTGATTTTATTGCTCTGTTTTTTGTTGGAGAGAATTAGAGTAAAATTTTATTCTGGTGTTAGAATGACAGTAAAATTTTTCCTGTCAAGAGGTGGTCATTGCCAAACACTTCAGCCACCAAAAACACTGCCTCCGCTTTTTTACTTTTGTGCAGAGTAAGATTTTACTTTTAGATTCAGAGTCTAACATTTTACTCGTTTTTCAGAGTAAAATTTTATTTTTATACAGAGTAAAATTTTACTTTTGTACAGAGTCTAACATTTTACTAGTTTTTCAGAGTAAAATTTTACTTTTATACAGAGTAAAATTTTACTTTTAGTTTCAGAGTGTAACATTTTACTCTTATTCAGAGTAAAATTTTACTTTTAAATTTAGGGTGTAATATTTTACTCTTAGATTCAGAGTGTAACATTTTATTCTTATTTCAGAGTAAAATTTTACTTGTATGCAGAGTAAAATTTGACTTTTACATTCATGTCTCAAGTTGTGTTGGTGACACACTGTATGAGTTGTCAATCTTTGACAAACCTAATAGTAAAAATTAACTCTAAAATATAGTACAATGTTACACTAAACTACAGTAAAATTTTATCAACACAAATTGACTTTTGGACTTGTGGTGACAGTAAAATTTTACTTTGATAGTGATAGTAAAATTTTACTTTGATTGATAGTAAGTTTTTACTGTTAATTGTTTCATATTTCTCCACTTATATGGAAGGACATTTCAGTCAATTCATGACATTTTTTTAATTGAGGGACTTTTGAAGTCATTGTTTAATTCCGTGAGTTTCACACAAAATAGGCCCAATGGGAGGGGTTTTTCACCAAAAATCCCTAATAGATAATAATAAATATTATTGTTTAATGAGTCTATCAAAAAAATTTGAAATCAAAATAATAGAATATGTTATTTAAAGAGAAATTTATTTAAAAATTATTTTTCAAGTATTTGTATTTTAATTAGTTCATAAGATATTCTTATGTTCTAATAAGTTCTATTATTTAGACATTTGATCTACCAAATTCTAATTCTCATGTTTAAAGTATTTTATGAACATTTCTACCCTTACAAATATTTTTTGAACGGTTAGTAATTTAGTGATGTGAATATTTATATTTTGCAATGTGACGTGTGGATGTTTACATTGATGTGTGAATACATTCACATTGATGGTGTGAAAATTCACATTGACAATGTGAACATTCACATTGATGGTATGAGCATTCACATCACGAAACATTCACACTGTAAATGTAAATATTATTAGGAATATTTTGATAATTATGTCACCCATAAGACTTTTTAAAACATAAGAAAATAATGTAGACTAAATAGAATATAAGTAGGTAAAAAAAGATTTATGAAAAAGTGAGTTGAGCCTAATTCTTTATTTAACTTTAAGGTTATATTTGTTTGGCGGATTAGGTTGGATGTGATTATTAATGAGAGGATGGTTAGTGAAGAGATTGTTAATGTAAGGATTGTTAGTGAGGATATTAAGCCTCCGTTTGGGAAGTGGGTTGGTTTTTTGGCTTTTTTGGCTATTTTAGCCTAGGCTAAAAAGCTTGGTTTGGGAAGGACTTTTTGACTTTTTGGCTTTTTTGACTCTTTTTGTGAGAGAAGAGTGTAATGATTATGGGTTGGATGTGATGTTTTGTTTGTTATGGCTAAAATAGCCTATTTTGTTTTTTGTGGCTAAAATAGCCAAAAAAGCCCAACCAACTTCTTCCCAAACGGTGCCTAAGTAAAAATGTGTTTATTTTGATGATAGTGTGAGAAATGGTTAGTGATGGAATTGTTAAATTATTTTTATATAAAATAAATAAAAATAATTATTTCTATATTAAAAAAAAGCTAAAACAAATATTAAAACAAACAAATGCACTTGATAAAAAAAAATTTAATTATTTATTTATTTATATAAAATAGACTAAATCCAATCACTATTTTTCTAATCCTATCCAAAATCTTGCCATGCCTCCAAGCCTCTTACATTGTTAATCTCCCCTCTCAAATTATCACCAAACAAGGTGTGGGTGAGACCCACTAAACAAACATACCCTAAAAGAGTTTTAAATGCTTATTAATTTTAGACTGAGAAAATAAGTTTTTAAAAAAAATGATTATGTTCGCTTTACTTTCATACCAAAATTAATTTTTACCTAGAATATTTATTTTTTTAATCCTTTGTTTTGAAAAAAAAAAAATAGCAATTGAAATTAAATAAGAAATGGATTCACAAAAGTAAAGAAACTAAAAATTAACGGTCGGCTCATGTTTTCACTAGAAAGAATTAAAAAATGGTCATTAAAAAATTATATTGTAAACATTTATGATTAATACTAAAATAGTAAGAATATTTTTTTTGATTGATAAAATAAAATTTATTAATGAATTGTAGTTTGTAATTTGTTTTGGGTGTCTTCATTAAAAAATTATATTGTAAACATTTATGATTAATATTAAAATAGTAAGAATGAATAATGATTTTTTTTGATCGATAAAATAAAATTTATTGATGAATTTCAGTTTGTAATTTGATTAGGGTGTCTTCATTTTGTGTTGTTGCTTTGCCAACTTAGCCTCCGTTTGGGAAGTGGGTTACCTTTTTGGCTTTTTGATTTTTTTGGCTATTTTAGCCTGGGCTAAAAAGTTTCGTTTGGGAAGGGCTTTTTGACTTTTTGGCTTTTTTGACTTTTTTTGTGAGAGAAAAATGTAATGATTATGGGTTAGATGTGATATTTTGTTTTTTGTGGTTAAAATAGCCTATTTTGTCTTTTGTGACTAAAATAGCAAAAAAAATTCCGTTTAGCTCTTGCCAAACGGAGGCTTAGTTTGGTTAGTTATGGATCTCACTTTTATTTGGCTTAATAGTGTGCCAATCTATTTGGTGTGTGCTCTTAGAGCAATTCTATTACTATTCTTCATTTTTTATTAGTTAAAATATGAAAATAGTATATTTTTTATTTTACTTAATTAATTTTTCATTTTTGTGTTTTAATACTACTCTTTATGTTACATATTTATCTAATGCTCTCCAAATGTAGTTAGTTTGCAAGAATTTTGTTAAAATAGATATCATATTAGCTAGTCCATTGGAGCAAATAAAATAACATAAAAGACCTAATAAGTCTTTTTTAAAGAGTCCATTGAAGATGCTATTAAGCAACCGTACTTATTTCTATTTTCTTTTATTAATATAATTTTATTGTACCTCTTGATATAAATTTATTGTACCTCTTATATACATAATGTTATATGCCAAATGTATCAATTGATAATGTGATATAATTTAAGATATTTTTGATATTTGTAATTTATATAATGAGTAAGGTCAATAATAATGTCATAACTAGTATTGATTAGTTAATATACTAATTTAGACATGTAGTACCACTTATAATTAAATTATTTTAATGAGCCACTCATAGTTGAATTATTTTAATGAGTCGTGAGTTCTTTCAACACTTCTAAATGCATTTATTACACAGAACACTTGTTTTTTCAGTGATTTTTGAACTTAGTTGAATTATTTTAATGAGTCGTGAGTTCTTTCAACACTTCTAAATGCATTTATTACACAGAACACTTGTTTTTTCAGTGATTTTGAACTTTTTGAAAGTTATTAATGTGTTTGCGAAATTGTTAAATTATTTTTTTGAGAGTAAAAAAGTTGATATGATATTTGAATTTTATTTTTTGTGATTATTATTATTATTATTATTTTTTATAGAAATCCCTAAACCCTCACTGAGGGGTTGTTTGGGAATTATATTTTTATTGATTTTTTAAAATTATTTTTTAATTTTATCAAAAAATTATAAATTATAAAAATATTTTAACTTTTTCTTTTTTAACTTAGGTCTCGTTTGACAAGTTAACATTTTAGTCTAAAAGTCAAAAAGTTATTAAAAAAGTCAAAAAACTTATAACCTATACCAAAAAGTCAAATATTCTCTTTTCTCTCTACTTTTTGTACATCTTTTCATAAAAAGTTAAAAAACTACCCCAAACATACTAATTTTTTTACCTCATATTTTAGTTAAAAAATTTAAAAATTACTAAAATAACTTGTTTCCAAACGATGTCTTAGTTGTTTTATTAGTTTAAAATGATAACAGATACAACCAACCAAGCCGCAACATTTATTCAGGTCTCTGTCTCTCCTACTCAGCTCTCTCTTTCTCTCTCTCTCTATATATATATATAGGGGTCTTTTGAGAAGTAGGTTATAATCCACTTCGTAAATTATAATCCACTTCCCTCTTTTACTAAAAACTAATTATAATCAACTTTTAACTAAAAAATTAATTATAACCATCTTCCCAAAATAACACATAATACTGAGTCGGTTATCATCTTCTTCCATAGCTTATTTTTTTAAATGTTCGGTGACATTGAGAGGTCACAAACTCAAAACATTGTCAAATAGCTTCTTGTGTTTTCTTGGGAAATGGAAATTTTCCTAGGTGGGTAAGTTCTTTCTTTATTGTTCTCCTACTCTTCCTCTCTCTCCTTCATAGCATTTTCCAATCTCTTTTGAGTTCCAGATAATTATGAAAATTTCTTTCAATTCTCTCTCTCTGTTGTTGTGTTTCTCTGTTTCAATCTATACTGTATCTGGTGAGCTCTGATGGTACAACTCTGTTGTCCCTTATGACCCATTGGACTTCTATTCCTCCTTCCATGAAATCAAGCTGGAACGCTTCTGATTCCACTTATCGTTCATGGGTTGGAGTCGAATGTGACTCCAATCATCACCACAACCACTTTGTTGTTTCTTTAAACCTCTCTTGTTTTCAAATATTGGGTCGATTAGGACCTGAGATAGCTGAATTGACCCAATTGAAGTTCATCGATTTCAGCAACAATAGTTTCACAGGCTTAATCCTTATGAATTGGGTAATTGTAGTCTCATTGAATACTTGGAACTCTCCCAAAACAACTTCACCGGTGATATACCAGAGAGCTTTGGGAATTTGTTGAATTTGAGATTCATAAACTTGTATTCTAGTCTCATGAAAGGTTTAATCCCTGAATCTCTGTTTCGAATCCCACATTTGGATACTGTTTGGCTCGATGTGAACGAACTTAACGGTTCGATCCCATTGAATGTTGGCAACATGAGTGAGATTGTATCTCTTTGGCTATATGGTAATCAATTGTCAGGACCATTCCTTCCTCCATAGGAAATTGTACCAAATTAGTAGAACTTTATGTTGTTCCAACCCACATGCATGCAAAACCATGCAAGCAAGCAGATGGTCAAATAAGATGGCGTAAGAAGACCTCCACTGGAAGTGAAAGTCTTTGCTGGGCATATCTGCAAGTTTGTCTCTTCCCTTCTCTTCACGTTGCTGTTCCTTGTTGATTTTCACCATTCACCATTAAAGAGGGTTGAAATTTTTTTGTGGGATGGTGTATCTCTCTCTTCCACTCTTTGTGTATAAATAGAGACGGGAGGGAGAGGATGTTTTGTATCAGAAATTGGAGAGTGAGAGCTGTGAGTTGAGTGAGTTTCATCTCCTCCTCTGTATTTGTATTTTGCTCCATTTTAGTGGAAAATTCTCATTTCTGTCCATGGATGTAGGCATTGGGCCGAACCACGTAAATATTGTGTTCTCTGTGTGTGTGAGATAATTTTTCTGGGTGTGTTTTATCCTAACAATGTGGTATCAGAGCAGGTTGAGTCTTTTTCGAAAAAACAGAGTGCATTTCTCGAAATGCCCAGAAACCAAAGTGGTTGAAATCCACTTTTGACCAGACGAAGTTAAAGCCCTCGAAGAGACGAGCACAGAGGTGAAAACCTCGTCGAAAACGGAGATCGGAAGGCCACACACGTGCCACACGCGCTTTGTGACGCCGTTCCCATGCACCCCCACCCTCACACGCGCCTCACGGGCTTCCAGAGGAAGAAGAAGCGTGATTTCATGCCCATACACGCGCCGCACGCGTGTGCGCCAGCCTACGTCATCAGCCAAGTCGAGCCTTCAGCCGAGCCGAATCTGAGCCGTTGACCAAGCCTTCAAGTCGCTGACCAAGCCGATCGAAGCCGAGCCGGGACGAAGCCAAAGCCGCTGATCGAGCCGTTGACTGAGCCGCTGACGTCAGCCCGACGCCAGCTGAACCGGAGAAATAATCTGGTGCTTCTTAGCCGCACCAGATTCTGCCGATCTGAGCCATTTAATCTATTTTTGGCTGGATGTATGCCATTTGAGGTCCGATTTGGGTGATCCAATAGTGTTTTCCAACTATTTGGAATATTCCGGACACATCTGTACGGTCAGATTTTTCAAATCAGCTTCCAAAAATTTGCCGTCTTTCTTTTGGCAATCCGAAGTGTTTTTCCGGCTAATTTGACCAGTCCGGACTCCACAGCAAAACCTGTTTTTCAGCCAGAGATCATTTTTTATATGATGGAGGAATTAACGTCGACTTCAGGTTCCATGATAAAGTTAAATGCTTCCAATTATGCCATTTGAAAGCCTAGAATGGAAGATGTTTTGTACTGCTGAGATTTGTTTGACCCCATTGAGCTTAATGGAGTTAAACCACCAACGGAAAAAGACGAAGACTAGAAGTGGAAGAACTGAAAGACCATTGGCCAGATCAGACAATGGATCGATCATAGTGTCTTCCACCATGTTGCCCAGGAGACTGATGCCTATGCTCTCTGGACAAAGTTAGAAGGCATGTACCAATCGAAGACTGCTTGGAACAAAGCCCTCCTGATGAGAAGACTTGTGAATTTGAAGTTGAAAGGCGGTATCTCTGTTGCTGAACACACCAGTGAGTTTCAAAATCTAGTGAACCAACTAGCAACTGTCAAAATGGAGTTAGATGATGAGATGCAGGCCCTATTGCTGCTCAGTTCTTTGCCAGATAGTTGGGAGACATTGGTGGTGTCCCTCAACAACTCTGCCCCAGAAGGGAAACTGACCATGAGCATGGTTACAGATGCTTTATTTAGTGAAGAGGCAAGAAAGAAAGAAATGGGTGGAGATCAGTCTCATGCCCTCGTCACAGAAAATAAAGGTTAAGGCAGAGGTAGAGGCAGAGAAAGAAGCAAAAGCAGAGGACGCAGCAGAGGAAGATCTCAAGACAGAGGGAAATCCAGAGAAGGTACAAGCCAGCCAAGGTTCAAGTGTTACCATTGTGGCCAGGAGGGTCACATAAAGAAATATTGCTATGCCTTGAAGAGAGAACAAAAACAAGGCGATAGACAGCCAAAGACCGAAGATGGGAACACTGCAGTTATTGTCTCAGAGGATATTGTATTATTCTCTGTTGAAGAAGAAGAATGCCTCCATATGTCAGACAAAGACACCTGGTGGGTGGTAGATACAGCAGCTTCCTACCACGCTACATCTTAGAAGGAGTTCTTTAGTACGTACAAAGCTGGAGATTTTGGTACAGTGAAGATGGGTAACTCTAGTTTTTCGAAGATTGTTGGAATTGATGATGTTCGCATCCAAACCAACGTTGGGTGCACGATGGTGTTGAAAGATGTCAGGCATGTTCCCGATTTACGCCTAAATCTTATCTGAGGGATAGCCTTAGATCGATAAGGCTATGAGAACTACTTCGGCAAAGGCATATGGAAGTTGAAAAAGGGATCTCTGGTGGTAGCCAAAGGACAAGCGATTGGCACACTGTACAAGACTCATGTGGAGGTGAATTCAGATAGCCTCAATGCAGCAGAAGATGAGGCGTCACCAAATTTTTGGCACAAAAGGCTGGGTCACATGAGTGAGAAAGGGTTGTAGATTTTGGCAAAGAAGTCACTTATTCTCTTTGCCAAAAATGCAAAATTAAATTCTTGTGACAACTGCTTGTTTGGGAAGCATCATAGAGTCGCTTTCCATTCATCATCCAGAAAGACAATTAGAGTTGTTGAGCAGAGTATACTCTGATGTTTGCGGTCCCATAGAAGTGGAATCTTTGGGTGGTAGAAAATACTTCCTGACGTTCATTGATGATGCATCACGGAAGGTATGGGTTTATGTCTTAAAGACCAAAGCTGAGGTGTTCCAGCATTTTCAGACATTCCATGCTATGGTGGAAAGGGAGACCGGAAAGAAGCTGAAGTGTCTCCGAACAAACAATGGAGGCGAGTACACGTCAAAGGAATTTGAAGCCTATTGTGCTACTCACGGCATCCGGCATGAGAAGACTATTCCTCGAACCCCACAACACAATGGTGTAGCTGAGAGAATGAACCGAACCATTGTAGAGAAGGTCAGATATATGCTCAAAATGGAAAAGCTACCAAAGCCATTTTGGGAGGAGAGATCTAGCCTCCCCTTCAAGGGGCTGGTGCTACGACCGACGGGTGTGGGGGTGGTGGTGGGATTTATATTGTGGGTTGGGAAGGTTGCAACCTTCCAAGTTGGGATGGTTATGGAGGTTGTGGAGCAGTATGGCTTCGGGGCTCTTTCTGGGTTGTGGGGGGATATCTAGAGGTGGGGGAGGAGGCCATTGGATAGGTTCCTTGGAGTAAAGCATTTATTCAAGGCCTGGTTTTGCTCGCATGCGGTAAAATGCTGTTGGTAGAGCTCGATAAAATACTGTGGCGGGTTGTTGGAATTGGGGGGTGGGTCGGCTTGATGGTCGGCGGCATTAATTGTGAGAAGCATGGATCTAGTCGTGACCAATGCACTTTGATGGGGTAGGAGAAAAGTTTGTTGGAATGGGGCCTCCGGTGACAGTGAACACAACTGACGCGAGAAGCAAAGCGTACCCACAAGACGGTGCCATACTGTTAATGCTGTTTCGTATCTCCAGTGAATGGACAGGCAGGTCCAAGCTCCTCCAGCCCGCGGTCCAAAATGATTCAAGCGCCCACCAGATAACCTGGCCAGGCAAGTTCAACGGGGAAACGGGGGTTAGTCCCCCAGTGAACTCTTTCGACGAGCAAGTTAGGAAAGAGAAGTGAGTATAATGGGAGAAATTAGAATAGAAAAACTTTAACATTTTTTCTTGTTCACAACGTTACGCTTATATCCTTTGGTAATCATTGCTGTCCCTTCCGACCTGCTCTCCTTGCCGAAAGCCCTATGCTGTAGCTTCCTTGCTCAGGGTAAGGGGGTCTTGTTCCGGCGGAGAGGTGTTGTCCATAATAAATGCTGTGATGGGCTGCATTAGTAATGGTGATGTGTTATGACAAACCTTTGGCAGTATCTTTGCTGCTAATTGTGGTTCGTCTTTCTCTTGCCGTGTGTCTGATGTCATTGGCTCTTTATGCCTGTTGGACTCCAGCTGTCCTGGACGCTCGTCAGCTGGGTTATGCCACTGGGCTTCAAGTGATGGGCCAATAGGTATTCATGGCCTTTATGGGCTTATCATGTCAAGGAACTATTGCAGTTCATCTTTATTTAGTTTTTTCCAAAACAAATATTCTATGAAAAACTTGGCCTTATTTTGTGAAAGTGGTTCTAATCCATTCCCAGATTAATAACTCACTTCCTGTCTCAGCAAAAAAAGTTGCTTATAAGTTAAAAAGTTTGATTAATAACTATCTCTTCCTCAAAATAGCCCAATGTGCCCAATACATTCTTAAGAAAAATTATTTGGATATTTTTGAACGTCACATGACGGTATTTCTCATCAATCACAATGCAATCATATTCTTTTTTTATTTCTCAAATTCACCTTAATATAAAATCAAACAATTCTATCTCTTTCACTAATCACAAACGTTTTAAAACATTACTGAACAATATTCAGGACGCTGAACCATTAACTTCTCTCATTTCTGGGCCACCTAATAATTTTATTTTTCAAGTATGGTCTGTTTCTAATTTCTCGCGCTCAAAAGTGTGGAAAACTGTTTGGTTGTTTCCCCCTCTGTTATCCGCCCCCCCCCCAAAAAAAGTGTGAAAACCGTGAGTGTCTTGTCCCATATAGACCTAATAAAGAAACCCCCGTTGAGCACTGACTTTTATATCACACTCTTAGCTGGGTTTGTGTTTTTTGTTTTTTTTGTGTTTTTCGTTTTCGCTGGTTTTTCATTTGGTTTTGGTCTTTGAGTTATTCACTGGTGCTTAAACAATCCTCCATAGCTTCACATTGTGTTATTTATCATTTTATTTTCTAAAACAAACTAAAAATAATAGGTCATATTTTATTTTCATCAATAACAGGTAAATTGAGGCATTACATGAATTTGTCTCAAAATGAACGGTATTATTCGTGTGATATTTGTTAAGGGCATATAGTAGATAGGATTTTTGGTGAAACCGCCTTTTTAAGCCTTTTATATTAGGTAAAGGATAACCTAATCATTTTCTTTCAAAAAATCTCTGAGTAGGAAATGCCTAAGCTTAATAAGGACATTTTATAATTTTTATTTATTTTTATCACAATATTGCCCTCTCATAGTATACGTATCATATATTGAAAATAATTTGAAATCTGAGTTGAAGAATCTCGCATGGAATGAAATCAGGAACGAAAATCGATGAAGACCATCTCCCAAAATCTAAAGATCTCGTCAAGCAAAAGATCTCTTCAGCTTGGTCAACAATTAGCCGATCTCGCCGCCGACATACAACACTCTCAAATTAAACGAGAGTTTCATTGAGATTGTTGGAATTGTTTTGATAAGTTTTTATTAAAAGTTTTCTTTTCATTAGATATGTTGATTAATTTGTTTTGTTTTTGTTTGTTTGTTTGTTTGTTTTTTTTGGGATTTATTTTTTTGTTGTTTTTTATCTGATTTCATTTGACAGTAACCAGAGTAAATTTTACTCTGATTCTATTAGCTAGCTGTTTTTTTTTTTTGTCAGTAATGAGAGTAAATTTTAACTCTGGTTCTATTGCTCTGTTTTTTGTTTGAGAGAATTAGAGTAAAATTTTACCTCTGGTGTTTAGAATGACAGTAAAATTTTTCCTGTCAGAGGTGGTCAATTGCTAAAAGACTTCAAGCCCCACAAACACTGCCTTCGCTTTTTTTAGCTTTTGTGCAGAAGCAACGATTTTACTTTTAGATTCAGAGTCTAACATTTTACGTCGTTTTTCAGAGTAAAATTTGACTTTTATAACAGAATAAATTTTACTTTTTGTGCAGGTCTAAACAGTTTTAACTGTTTTTCAGAGAAAATTTTTACTTTTATACAGAGTAAAATTTTACTTTTAGTTTCAGAGTGTAACATTTTACTCTTATTCAGAGTAAAATTTTACTTTTAAAATTTTAGGGTGTACATTTTACTCTTAATTCAGATTGTAACATTTTAATTTCTTATTTCAGAGTAACAATTTATTTGTATGCAGAGTAAAATTTGACTTTTACATTCATGTCTCAAGTTGGTGTTGGTGACACACGACTGTATGCAGTTGTTAATCTTGCAAACCTAATAGTAAAGAATTAACTCTAAAATATAGTACATGTTACAACTAAAACACAGTAAGAATTTTATCATCACAAATTGACTTTTTGGACTTGTGGTGACAGTAAAATTTTACTTTGATAGTGATAGTAATAATTTTGAATAGTGATATTAAAATTGTTTACTTTGTTGATAGTAAGTTTTTAACTGTTAATTGTTTCATATTTCTCCCACTTGATATGGAAGGACATTTCCAGTCAATTCATGACTAATTTTTTTTAATTGAGGGACTTTTTGAAGTCATTGTTTAATTCGGCGAGTATTTCACACAAAATAGGCCCAATGGGAGGGGCTTTTTCACCAAAAAATCCCTAATAAGATTAATAATAAATATTATTGCTTAATGAGTCTATCAAAAAAAATTGAAATCAAAATAATAGAATATGTTTATTTAAGAGAAATTTATTTAAAAATTATTTTTCAAAGTAATTTGTATTTTAATTGTTCATAAGATATTCTTATATTCTTAATAAGTTCTATTATTTGGACATTTGATCTAACCAATTCTAATTCTCATCGGTTAAAGTATTTAATGGACAATTTCTACTCTTACAAATATTTTTTTGAACGGTTAGCAATTTAGGTGGATGTGAATATTTATATTTTGCAATGTGAATATTCACATTGACGTGTGATGTTTACCTTGATGTGTG